GAGCTGTCAGCACAGAGCCCAACGTGGGGCTTGACCTCACGAGCTGTGAGATCATGACCTGAGCCTAAGTCGGATGCTCAACCCACTGAGCCACCCAGGCGCCCTTCCAGAGATACTATCAATCGAAATCATGGACCATTTGGTTAAATTCAATCTCCAGCCCTCACTCCAACCTCCCCCCACCCAGGGCAGGCTGGTATCACCTAGCTCATAGCCCCAACCCTCTAATCAAATGGTTGGCCTTTCTGGCACAGTCAGCCCTCATCCAGAGTCAATTTCCGCATAGCCTCTGGTGTGGTTGAGGGGCACTCCATCAATAACAAAGACACTCCTATTACTTGGGAAATTCCAAGGACTGAGAGACTCCCTCCCAAGACCCAAGGACAACAGCCAAATTCTTTATTATACCAAAAAAAAAAAAGTCTTTATTATACAAAAACCTCACGTTTCTTAAAGTTTATTTTATATGTATGTTTTTTCAGTAATCTCTACACCTCACATGGGACTCCAACTCACAACCCCGAGATCATGAGTCACATGGTCCTCTGACCGAGCCAGCCAGGTTCCCCTATAGTAAAAATCTTATTAATTTTGAAAGCCGGAGATGCCCTGTCCCAGGAGATGGGAGTCCGACCAGTGTGTCGTCATTAAGATGGCCTCAAGACCCATCCTATTCCCAGACTGACTCATCTTCCCAGTCCTCCTAAAGGGGCATGCCAGCCAGCAGACAGAAGAGATGAGTTAGGTGGAGATACCGTGCTCCCATCCGCCCACTCACTGCCTGCTCCCCCAGGGCCCTGAGTAGCAGACGAACCCCTGACAGAGACCCTTAAGCTCTGGTAAGGCAATCAGAGACCTGTTTACATCTCTTCCCAGATGCCCATGAGAACCCTTTGCAAACAGTGAAGAGGTAAGAGAAGGGAAAATCTAAACCACCACTTCGGACTCATATGCAGGAAGGAAAAAAAAAAAAAGGACCACACAAAAGGGTTTAGGAACTTTTCATGCTTAGACTAAAAATCACAGGCTGGGGGTTTCATGAAGTGACTGGTCCATCTCTGGCAGGGCAAGAATCTGCCCCTCACCCAGCAAGGTCTGCAGAGCGCGGGAGCTCCCACTGTAGTGTGATATAGCAATGCCCCACCCAAGAGGCAAGAAAGCGAGATTAACAAGCACCCACCTGCCTGGCACTGCGCAAGCCACTTTCAAGTGTTCCCTCACTTAATCCCCACACCAACCGCATGAGTTAGGGATCCTCGTTTTACAGATGAGGATCCTGAGGCTTGGAGAGGTTCGCTGATTTGCCCAAAGCCGTAAAGTCTCAAAGCCGAGATGAAAATCCGGGTCTTCTGGTCTTTCCCCACTCTGCCACACTGAATTCTTTCTCTGACCCAGCCTCAGTCTCCCGTGGGGAAGTTTCCTCTTAACATCCATGCCTCTCGCTTTGTCCTGGTCCCTGTGAGGAAAAGGCTCAGCTTGAAGGAAGCTGTTCTATGAGGACGGGTGGGGATCCTGGCAGGATCTTTTCTCTAACACAGCAAACACGACCTCAGAAGTCACTCTCGGCTGACCAGAGGCTCCCAAGGGAACACTGAGGTAGAGCAGTTTGCAGATGGCAGGTCTCTGTGGAGTTGGTTACCACATGACCAGAGGCAGTGCTGGAAGGAAGGTGAAGGAAGCAGCAAGCCAGAGTAGTGTCAAAACTGCCACGCCAGGTCCCAGCAACCAGGGAGGGAGCCCGGGAAGACTCTGTTGCTCCGGTCCAGGAAGCACGTGGCTTGCCCCAGAATGACTTGGGGACCTTGAACGTGTCCCGTGCCGGGCCACGTAGGCACTCATTTCATTAGCAGCGGCAGCAGCCCCAGCTCATTCAGTCTCTCCTTGGCCACAGCCTCCCAGCCCCTGTTGGCTTGAGGGCTACGAGGTGAGGGGTGCAGGAGCCCCTCCACCCGGACCACAGGCATCAGGCCTGCCAGAGCCCGCCGTGCCCGCTGCTCTGCCAGCCGCCCCACTCCCACCACCAGCCGCACCCCCAGCAGCTGCACCTGCCGGCGGAGGGCCGCGTCACAGGCCCCAAGAAGCTGTTCTCGCTGCTCGGCAGGTAGCTCAGCGGGAGTGACGTTGCGCCCACCGGGGGTCAGGAAGAGCAGAGGACACAGATTGTGGACAAAACAGTGACGGAAGAAGACTTCAGGCTGTCCACACAGTTTCCGGAAAAGGCCCCAGAACCGGGCACCGCTCACCTCTGACTGAGGGCACTCCAGTCCCAGCACTGGTCGCTTAGGGTGCTCTTGGGGAGGGGTCAACACATGCCCCCCGATGCCCAACCAGTCCCGAACTATGTTCACTTCCCCAAAGGGCACCTGCCGGGAGGGAGAGAGACACGGGGGTTTCATTCCGGAGACCTGATGCCTGGGTTCTGGGTCAGCTGACCCCTCTCCACCCTGCATGAGGACCCAGTCTGGACACCCCACCCCCACCCCTTCACCCAAAGGCTCGAGACAAAAATTCTGGCCCTAAGGTTTGATCCTGCTCATCTTTCTCCAACTTCTCATTGTGGACTGCAATCCAGAAGAATCTGTCTGTTTGCTTCTATCCCCACCTGCCTTTGGGACCACATGCAAAGACTATATGGGAATATCTGGTCCTACACAGGATATGATGGGTAGTACTGGGGACAGACAGATGGTCTGAGACAGAAAGCTGCCAGGGGTAGAGGAGGCCCAAGGACAGGACTGACCACTGCTCTCTGGGCGCCCTCTCAGCCCCAAGCCTCAGGTTGTCATTTCCATCGATCATCATTGATCACCTTTCATCCCCCAGTTGGGGTCAATAAAAGCGATTGAGCCTCCTGCCCTGAAGCCTCTTCCCCTCCCCCATCTGCCAAGCACCCCCACTGAGGGGCATTCACTCATCCTGAGGTCTGAAAGGAAAGCAGGCAGGCCCCAGAGCCAGCTCTGTTTTCAATCTCTCCTCAGCTAAGAAACAGAAGCAGGCCGGCTGGATGCCCTGCGTCTCCTCCATACCCACCCCTGTCGACCAGTCTCCCCTGAGGACCCAGTAGTCCTGGTCCCTCTCCCGACCCCAACCATGCTCTAGGGAAAGAGGAGATCCGGCAAGGTAAGGGTTAGATGGAGCTGGCGGAAGGAAGGGCTCGCAGAGGCAATTAGTGGACAGCTCACAGGGGAAACGGAACTACCATTAATGTGCTTGGTTAACTACAGGCGGCAAGGCCAGGAGAGCGTCTGAAACCACAGGAGCCAGCATGTGTCCTGGGAGGGGACGAGGGGGCCCGCACCCACACATGTGCACAGCCAGGCCCACGCTCCTCCCCCCACAGCACACACGACCAAACATCCACCCTGGAGCCTCCCACTCCACCCGCCAGGGGAAGCCAAGCCCTTTACCCCAGTCTGGGCCATGCCAAAGGGTCCTGGGTTCATGCCCAGGAACAGCACTTCCTTGGGGCCCTGGCAGTAGCGGGTCACATAGCTACGGTGTGGCTCCCACGCATACTCCACAGGATTGTAGATGATGCCCACGGGCTCTGAGAACCGCAGCTGGCTCAGTTCAGAGCTGAGCCGAAGCTCCTCCTCCAGGAAGCCTTCAGCCAAGTTTTGAGGGCAAGGCTGGGGCTCCATTAGGGCACTCGCAGGTTCATGGAGGGGCCCCAGTGGATAAGCCTGGGGTAAAGCCATGTCACTGCCACCTGGAAAAGAGATGAACAGAAGCTTCATCAGCCCTCAGCCCTAGAGTGAGAGGGATCCAGACTGGCCAGGGCTGCCCTTTCCTGGGCTCAGAAGAGACTGTCAGTCGTCCCCCAACCCCCTAGGGTTGACTGAGTTCATCTCAGTTCTTGGTAGTGATGGGTCCTTCCTCCCCCCGCTTCAAGTATACTTCTTCTCCATATGTTACCTGGTTAGACTAAGCCATCGTCCCCCACTCCAAACCTCCTTTTCATCAGGCATAGGTCTTGAGTCACTAGTTCCTAGGCCATGCTAGACACATGGTAGGTGTTCAGCATATATTTACTGGTGGCAAACTTCCAGCGCCTCTAATGTCACCCTTAATAAAACAAGCGCAGCCAGGATGGGCTGTGTCCTGAAAACCAATGTGCTGAAGAATGAGATGCAGGTGCACAGCCAGAGCCTGGAGACTAATTACAGGAGGCTAATTACAATCGCTTCCAGGTGGTGAGCAATTGCTCTGTGCCAGGTACACCTCATTGGTCCCCCTAACAACCCCATGAGGGGACTATTATTGCTCCCATGTTACAGGTGAGAAGACTGAGGCTTAGTAAGACCAAGTAACTGGCCCAGGGTCATGCAGTTAACAAGTAATGAAGCTGAAATCTGCACCCAATCTGTCTGGCTCAAGGCTACGCTCTTAACCACCCATCTCATCTTGCCTGAGACGGTTCAGTCAGCCACCCTGCTCATCCAACAACCCCCGCCCCACCCAAACCCAGCCCAGCTTCTTGCCCACAGTCAAGAATTCTCAGTGGTGAGTAGGATGATTACCAGACTCAGAATAGACTCTTACAACCATGTAACCATGGCCAGAGCTTCAGGTTTTCTCATCCAAATACTAAGAATAATAATATCCACTCAATAATAGTAACATAAGGGATGTGGGGGTGGGGGGTGGGGTGGGGAGGAAGTGGAGAAGCAGAGGAGAAAGGGGGAAGATGGGGGTGAGGAGGCTGAGGGAGCACTCCGGCAAGTTCTACAGCCTACAAAGGCAATTCTTCCCAATCTTCCTTCTCACAATTCCCCCGCAAACCCAGTGTTCCAGCCTGACCGTTCCACTCACGCTTTCAAAATGCCTTTCCTACCCCAACTCCCAAAACTCTGCACACGCCATTTCTTCAAATCCGACCAGACACACTCTTTGAATCAACCAGGACTGTGACCCCTCTGCCTCTCCACACATCCAAATCGTGCCCCATCCTGCAAGATGCAGCTCCAGAGATCCCATTGGTCCCTTCCCACCTCAGGACACTGTGGCATTTGCCGTGGCTTCCCAGTCCCACCCCACACATGAGAAGGTCTGGTGTGAGACCTGGGAATCTGTATTTTAAACCAACTTCCTAGGGTGCCCTGTTCAGTTTCCCTCTATACCTTCAAGATCCTAGCTTTTATTAGGTAATCAACAAACACCTGCTCAGCTCTGTCCATTCCATCTTTTCCAATCCTGTTTAAAACTACCTTCTACCTCAGAGTCTTTCCCGAGGAACTCTCCATTTCTACAGCCTGAGTTCACTCAAGGTTCAACTGTCCACTTGGCATTCTGCTTGTTCCTGAGGGCTTGCCAGGCTCTGGACGTTTCCAACCTGTTTGGGCCTCCCATAGGGCAGGGGTCAGGGTTCTTCTCCCTCGCAACCTCTTCTCCCAGAAGGGACCTCAGGGGTTGACTGAACAGCTTGATCCATCAATCTGTTCTCTGACCTCAGCCTAGGGGAGCAGAAGAGAAAAAAAAGTCAGGGCCAAACTTAGACAATCTTTCCCCAGACTGATCTCAGAAGTCTTTAACTGCTCTGTGCAGATGGCTAACCAGGGCCAACTGGGCTCAAACAAAAGCCCAGAAGGGAACTGTGGAGAACTCAAATGTCTCGAGGGGCCCCTGCTCGGCATCTCCTCATGTAGTGCCAATGTTAGTGGACTGGCTGTTCCAGCTCTGGGATCTCTCTCCTCTTCCACTGAGCCTACCTTTGACCTTTAGAGACCTGTGCTGGGGACAGCAAGGCTGAGGGGTATGAAAAGAGTGACAAGGCTTTGTTTTCAGCGTTCCAGTTTCAGAGCCTAATCTGATAACAAGAACCACAGTCTGAGTGTCAACTGAATCAATTTCTAGCCCTAGTTTTCTAAGTTTCTCTTACGCAAGCCATTTAACTCTCGTCCCTATGAAATCACAAATTCCATCCGACCTATCAAAAGCTGTTAACTCATTTATTTTTTCCAATATTTATGAGTCTCTTCATGAAAGGCACTGTGGTCATCTCTTGAAGAAGAAATAATAAATAATAAGAAAATGGAGGCCACGCTCAGAAACAGATAGAACAATTTTCATACACTGTGACTTGAGCTTTATTGTCCTAAACAAAGCACTACGAGAACCCAAAGGTGGAACTTGGAAGTCCTATCCAAAGTCACCAAGAACCAGAGACTTAAGAAACGTCGATACATTATAAATTACAGCGTCGTATTAGGTGCAAAGGCCGCGGAGGGTGATCCAGCAATGTCTGGCCATCTAGGTTCTCTGACACTAAATCCAGGAAGTGGAAGAAGTAATTCTAGACACTATCCACTCCCCTATCCCTTGGGGGCACTCCAAGGAGTCCACAGGGACAATCAGCAATCCTTAAACGAATAGCAGCAGTAGTAGGTCATGGACTTAAAAACACCACTTTATCCCTCCTACTGGTTCTGAGAGGGCCGCCAACTAGGGGTCCGTAAGAAACCTCCGCGTCCGCCCTAGGGCTCCGCCCGACGGGAAAGCCACGTCTCCGCAGGCCCTCAGGGAGGTTCGACTCCCCCTGCGCCGGGGCAAGCCCCAAACGGAGCAAGGGTCCCTCAAACACACACATTCTGACTCCCCACTCGACACCGCCTCGCAACCCTAAGAGCCCCAAGCCGGCCCCCCAGCACCCCAGGTCCCCGGGTCCCTACTTCCTCACCTGGTTCAGCTCTCCATCCGGTTTCCGGTTCCCTTCCCCGCCCCCGGGCGCGGAGGACAGAGGGAATTGTAGTCTACTTTGCTTAGGGAAGGAGATTGGCGTAGCGGCGGCAACTTCCGCCGGAAATACTCAAATCCCCGGAAGGCGTGCTAAGTTAGCCCTAAGTGACTCTGGGGGTTGTAGTTTATTCCTTACATCAGAGCAAAATCAAGAAGGCTTTAGGAGAGACCAGGCTCATTAAAGACCTCAGAGGTCCTGGCCGTTAGCCTTCAAGGGCAGCACCCTTCCAAAAGTTCATCGACAAGACTTTTCCCAACAGGACTGCGAATCAAGGAGCTTCAACCATTCCCCAATCTCGAAGCTCACCTGAGGGTATTAAATGAAAAAAGGCCATTTCTAGTCCTCCTGCTGCCCAAGGGATAAGAGATCTCTTCTTTGCAGCCCTCAAAGGACAGTATCTAGAAAATCCAAGGAGGCACTTCTGGAATCTGCTAACAACTTTATTCTTATTTATTTATTTATTTATTTATTTATTTATTTATTTATTTTGCTGACAACTCTTTAGTAGTGGCTTTGAGACACTTCCATTTCCCATTACTGCCCAAGCCTGTGTTTCCATGGCTTTCCCATTTGATTTCTCTCTCTCCTCTGCTGTGCCGTCTACCCAGCCCTATAATCTCCCATCCTTCCAAATCCTTCCCCTCAAATACTCTGTCCAGGACACCTTCCCTGACCAATCCTAATCCCATGGCTGCACCTAACAGTCCATTCCCTCCCACCTCCCCAACCCAAAACAATGTCCAGAGCTGTCCCATTCCTAATGTTGTTCTTGTCCCCCACCTGGGTATATTTCTGTGTCCTGACTCTAAGATTTTCATTACACGGGAAGCCCCATAAGGCTAATTATCTTCTAAATCCCTCCCACCCCCTACCCCCTGCACCCCTCAGCACAGCCATGACTGAGATCAAGAAGAAGCAAGGTCCCCCTACAGGTGGTAAAGAAGGAGACCAGTGAACCCCAGGACAGGAAAAGGAGAGAGAACAAGGATGCCACCCCCTTCCCAACCCTCCCCTGCTCTCCTACCAACAGACAAAAACTTAACTGGGTGCGGCATGAGCTTCAGGGAACTGTGAGCAGCAACCCTCTGACACCAAAGGTGAAAAACCACCCCACCTTTGCAAGACTTTGCAAATAAAGTTAATCATCCACCTCACAGTCTGTTATTCCCTGAGCTGGCACTTGTGTCGGATTCCTTCCCTGCTTGTCCTTGCCTCTCTCTGCCTATGTAAATGTCTCTCTATCCCTACTCTCTTGATGGTTTTTTCTCTGTATCTATGTGTCTCGGTCTTCCTCTGTGTACATCTATCCCCATGCCTCTGCTTCTTTCTCTGGAATGACTGAAATAAGAGTATCCTGAGCTTCTAGAACCAACTGCCCCGTCAGGCTCCTCTCTCTTCACAGATCTATGCGTTTGTATGTCCCTGAACCAAAATTATGGGGGCGGGGTGGGGGAACCACACTGTGTTGTCATCTTATTGCTTAAAAATGCTAGGAGCCTCACCATCCTTTGGGCAACCCTCCTGCCCACCCCATCCCTTTGCCACTTGGTTGCGAGCTGCTTCCAGTTTATCATCATGGCGTCCCCTCCACATTCCAAGGCCACTCCTGGTAAGAAAGTAATGAGTAAAATGAGTGACAAGCAAACAGAGATGTCCCCAGGACCCCCACTCCCAATGTCAACTTCCAGAAAGACTTAGAGGACTGTTTCTGTCCCTGTAAGCCCATTTACACCAGGAGCCCAAAGATAGGGAGTCCCAACAGAGGCAGAAACTGAGTCTCAGGCAACCCCACAGTGAGTTCTTGTAGCTGACCCCGCAGGGCTCTGGGAGCCTTCTCTGTCTCTAGACCATGCTGCTCTTCCCCACCTGGTGGGTCCTTCTCAGGGAAGATGGAGGTGAGGAACTCTCCTGAAGTGGGGGTGCTTAGTAACAGAGACAGAGAGATTTTCAAAAGGTAAAGCCTAAGAGATGAAACTTGGGCTGGGGTGGGGGCTGCCAACCTGTCTTGCCTGTGTCCTAGTCTCCTGGCCCTCTGGGAAGTCTCCAAAGCCTGGCCGATTGTGATTTATGGTTAGAACTTACCTGGCAGGAGCAGGAGCAGACCTGTAGCCTGGACAGAGCCTGGAGAGTTGGGCCACTCCTTAGGGTCCAGCCAGGCTTGGGGCAGGGCCCTCTGCTGCCCAGCAGGCTGCTCCTGGGGCCAGAGCCCAGGCAGGAAGGGGTTAACGGGAGGGCTTGTTTTCCTTTGGTTTCCTGGAGCTGCCGAGGCTGTGTTGGGCCACGAGCGCCATCTATCGGCTTCTGGTGGTCCTAGCTCTGACTCTCTGCTCATTGGCTTCTAGGCGGATTTTTTAGCCCTTCTTCCCCTGCCTCCATGCTTCCAGAGTAGAGGGGGGTTTCCTAGCTGCGCGGCTCCAGTGTAGAAAATAGGTATCAGGGATTGGAAGAGGTGAGGGCCGCGTTTCCCCCTCCCCAAGTACCAGATGTCACCCTTGGTAACTCCTGCCACCTCTGCCCTAGGGGACCTCAACGGGCTTCTGGTGTTTGACTTTCAGCCTAACCATATCCTCCAGCTCCTCCACACTAGGGGGTTTCCCTCTCTCAGCCCAATAAACATTTTTTTTAAAAAAAGCCTTGGAGGGGTGCCTGGGTGGTTCAGTCGGTTAAGCATCCAACTCTTGATTTCAGCTCAGGTCACGATCTTGTGGTTGTTGAGTTTGAACCCCACAGCCATCTTGGCACTGACGGTGCAGAGCCTGCTTGGGATTCTCTCTCCCCCCCCCCTCTCTCTCTCAAAATAAATAAAACTTAACAAAAATAAAATAAAAAGCGTTGGAGAGGAGAGGTGGCATAGCAGAGGCCTTCAGAGTGTGGTCTCAGGACTAGGACTGCCTGGATTTGGATCCCAGCTTTGCCACTTACTGACCTTGGGCAAGCTGCTTCTCCGTGCCTCAGTTAGCTCATTTGTAAAATTGGATAGTCATTGTAATCCATCTTTTCTTTGGTGATAATTAAATGACTTCATTACAGGGGCGCCTGGGTGGCTCGGTCGGTTGAGCGTCTGACTTCAGCTCGGGTCATGATCTCACAGTTCGTGAGTTCGAGCCCCGCGTCCGGCTGTGTGCTGACGGCTCAGAGCCTGGAGCCTGCTTCACATTCTGTGTCTCCCTCTCTCTCTCTGCTTCTCCCCTGCTCACGCTCTGTCTCTCAAAAATAAATAAAGATTTTTTTTAATAAAAAAAAAATGACTTCATTACATAGGTGCTTAGTACCGTGGCTAGCACAGAATAGTGTTCTAGAAAGGTTAGTTATTGTTGTTGCGACTGTGTGTCCGGGTCTCAGGCAGATGCTAGTCGGACAACCCAAGATCCAGGCCACAGAGCCATATCAGACGCACAAGCACAGAGGTCAAGACTGGGCAATACATCCCTGGAGATTTCCACAGAGACAGTGACCCATATGGGCTAGGTGTGGGGGCCGGAAGTTCAGGATTGCAAGGGAAGTTCTCGAAGATCATCAGGAAATTGGATGAGAGGGTCAGAGAAAGAAAGAACTTGAGGTAAAGATGTAGGAAGGAAAAGCACTAAAAAAAAAAGGGTATTAGCAGGCCCTTCAAAGGACCTTGAATAAGGGAGGGGAGAGAACTCCCTGACGTGTGGGGTGAGCAAGGGCCACCACATCCCAAAAACATGTCCTCCTTGGTACAGGCACAAAAGTCTCAAGGTTGACCAGGCTTCCCAGTCCTCCAAAAATAGATCATATCGAAGGCCCATGCCAGCTCTGTGGGGACTTAACGTTCAGTGTTTTCCCCCAACCTTGTGGGGAGGTGACTCACAAAGGGAGAACGCTCTCTTGTCCCGATCTCCCCTCCCTCCCAGAATGGGAGAACTGGGGAAGCCTGGCCGTGGACACATCCATTGCTTTGTTAACAGGTTCACCCTGTTCCCGTGTCTTCTATCGCTCTGCCTTCCTCTACCTTACTGGCAAATGGGTACAGAGGCTACTTCTCCAAGGGGTGAGATAAGGGGCAGAGTGGCATGCTCCCAGAGAAGACAGAAATGCAGAGCCAGTGGGGTTCCTGGTCCAGCCTCACCACCTCCCACCCCCACCTCAGCCCCAAGGCAGCACAGACCAGCTTTACGGATTGATGGTCACTTAACCGAAGGCAGGTGACGGCTTCCAGGTCTCTCCAACTCAGGTGTTCTCCTTCTCCTGGGGCCTGGACGCCGGGGTCCCCCGGAGAGGAGCAGGACAGGCTGGATGGGCTGATTTGCATCGCTTACTTGGGAAGCAATTATCGGAGGAGCTGTCAGCTCAGCGCGGCTCTCTCTTCACTAATCGGATTTTCGCCGGAGCCCGGGGCTGGGGGGTGCTAAGTAATTTGGCTTGATGCGGTGGTGGGAGGTGTCAGGGCCGGGAGGCCGGGCAATCCGTCTGAGTGGTGTTCGAGTTGTCCGGAGCAATTATCCTGAGGGGACCACACAGATCTCAGATGGACGGCCAGCCAAGGGGACTGGACTGGTCCCCAAATCCTGCAGCACAACTTGTGGCAGAGTGGGAGGAGCCTCTCCCGCAGGGTGAGCCAACTTAAGCCACTGAGAAGAGTCTAGATGAGTCTGTGAGAGGGGAGCCACCTAGCCAAGTAGGAAGGAGGCCCAACATACCACCTTCCGGCCTACCCTCCACCCAGCCCTGCCCTACCCTGCACCGCCAAGGAACCAGCAGCCGAACAGGGACTTGACCGAGGAGGAGACTTCCAAGCCCTGCTTCCCTCCCTGCAGTGCTCCCAGGCCATGCTGTCCCTGCCCTTGTCACTGCCTCTGTCACTTGCCTTCTCTTGTCTCCACAGCCCTTTTGAACCTGTCCCCGCTGCCCTACTCCATCTCTCCCCAAGTTCACAATGGACGGCTGACCCCTTTCTCTGCCTCTGCCCTCCGTTTCACACCTTTCAGAACGGCGATAAGGATGATGACAGTAGC